AATCATCATCGAGAAGCTTGGTGTAACGCGTTCTCAACCATTATTCATAGGTTTATTATATAGGCGGTTAAAAACTTGGGCTTGTGATCACAAAACGTCACTCGGCTATCGCGAACGGTCACAAAATCTCGAGAGCTATCATGAATGGTCACAAAAATCGGGATTCTGTCACAAATAGTTACAAGCTGCCCCACAAAGTTATCACATTTCGTCACAAGACGAAACGTGCGGTGTACAAGCTGTAACGGCCTTAAACTGTTGAGATTTATGGACATTTAACTGGCGACTGGTTTGGTCATATTTGCGTGGTCTGGTTATTTCCGTAGCGAGTCGCGGAGGCAAAGGTTACAAGAGATTGCATGCTTGAATATTATTGGAAAAAAAAAAAAAAAACCCACTCGGATGGCATGCCACCGAGAGAGCATCAACCCTAAACACCATACGACAAGGTGTTTAGGGTTGATATCGAAAGTCGACATGTGCGATTTTTCATTCGACTGAAAGTGATGATAATGCTGTTTTTAGCAAGTTCTGTCAATTTTTTCTTGGTTTAAAAGGCTTTGATTCGCGACTCGCTGCAGATGCAAATAAGCTGCGGGAATAAGACATTTCTTTCAACTGTGAACAAGTTGGTGAAAGTGGTCGCGAAGACGGAACAGTTTTTTCGCGTGCGATATAGCTTTCCAAGAATCTCTACAGTTAATTGTGTAATTTCAACTTTCCTTTGAGTGTTTCATTGTGTGACCATACGTGATAGAGTCGTGGGGCAACGTTGTGACTATCCGTGAGAGAATTCTTGATTTTGTGATCATCCGTGATAGATTCCTAGATTCTGTGGCCATTCGCGATAGCCGAGAGACCATTTGTGATAACGAGCGAGTGTTTGTGACGGGCTACATAATTTCCCTAATTCATATGGATGAGTTGCTTGACAATGAAGTGGATGTTAGGTGGTGTGGTGTGTTACACACGCTTCTAGTGCGTTAAGTATGGATACAAACAGGTTTGATCGGATCACTAGCGGACTCTGAGCAAGTTTGATCGCGTTCAAGTCGTGGTGTTTGACCAGCCGTACACAATTCTCTTTCACCCTGACTGCCCGAGCTAAAACATGTGGGAATTGGGATCCTGGTTTCAGTTTCAGCAAGCGGTATTGTCTAACAGGAAGATGGATTGTGAGGTAAAGCAACAAACTTCAACTATAGACTCGAAATGAAGTTATGAATAGAGTTTTACAGCTCAGAATCATTTGGCACTTCGCGCAATGAGTTTTACGTGAACTCTCACTCACACCCTTCGTGCTCTGAGTTTCCAGGTCAGAATCATTTTATTACTTCCACGCAGTGTGATTCCAGGAGATACTTAACTCCTGTGCACTATGCCCAAGCTTCCATAGTTTTTTATTCTAGTTAACGTTTCTGCCTCTCATGCGCTGCCGATTTTGGGTTATTTCCTTGAATTTCATTCCGGGTTAGGGTTCTTGATCAAAGGTTGATATCGCAGCTAGATTTCTACTAATTGGATTTCGAGATTGTAGGAATTACTTACTCGTCGAGCACTCGCGAAAGTGTGAAGTCAAAAAAGTTGCGGGGAAGTAACTTCAAAGTTGAAGTTCCGCAACTTTTTGTTTGGTGGAAAAAAGTACAGGTCAAACGTTCATGTGGACACTTGACTGCCACGTGTACATATGTTTTTTGCGAGTTGTTAAGGTAAATTAGTTGATACAAACATGTGATGTGGACTAATTGGAACCTCCTGTAACGTATGCGGCAAACGAAGCTTATTGGCTAACAATCAAATTTTTGGATACAGTATTAGACGTCGCAAATACTTTTAAGAGCGAATATGAGAACTTTATGAATAATATACTCGTTACATGAAACCCTAACACAATCACTACTTTTCCGTTAGAAATTACAAATTTCAACAAAAGCTAGTAAAGTTGTCTTTACAGCCAATTGAATCCGTACTCCTGAAATAGAGACATTATGAACAAATCTTACCGATGGCATGGTGTTACGTCCAAAAACATATGTTAGCGCAAGAGACAATAACCAGACAAGATGAATGAGTAGTATTAAAATAACGCACTGTCAGTTTACAAGTTAGAAAGATAGGTCACTAAACTATCAGCCATGGTACACTTCTACGTTTGATGACTCTAAAAAATCACAGCATGACAAGAAGACACAAAAGTACTAACTCTGGTGACTGCGATGAGGAGTGCACCACACAAATGATCATAGCGACTCTGCGCACGAGGCTAACAAAGAACGAGAAGGAGAAAACGCACATATCAAAAACCCCCACGTCTTTACCCCATCCTAAGCACCGCATTGTATGCACATCCTACAAGGGTAGACAGTTAGACCCAGTTGTAAATACGTGTCGGACGTTAAAAATGCGATAATACTGCGACATACATGACATGTTCAACGATGTCCCCTTAACACAGCGCACATACGTTTCGTGCGCATCCTGCAGGGTTAGAAATGGCAGCGTGGTATCAATGGGAAAGAACGGCAATACTGCGACTTGCCAGAAAAGCGTAAAATGACGGGCGCCATCCCCAGCACGGTAGTTGCACAGGTCGTCCTGATCAACTGTATTAGCCAAACCGCAAATGCAGCCAACAGAACGACGGCACAAAATAAGGGAGTGGTCGTCCACAATTACATGTCAAGGAAGTGCTGAAGGCTGCTGAGGAGACTATGAGGAGGACTGTGGGGAGAAATACAACACCTGACGTGCTACCGAGGGGAGAGGGGTAACGTGAGACACACCTGACGGGGCAGGACCCAGGAGGGGCTGGGGTACTGGAGGAGCGGGAGCAGGAGGAGTGCGGGTGATGAAAAGTGGAGGGGG